TACTGGTGGGTTATTCACTACTGGTGGGAGTTATTCACTACTGGGTGGGAGTTATTCACTATTGGTGGAGTTACTCACTACTGGTGGGGTTTTCACTACTGGTGGGGAGTTATTATTCACTACTAGGTGGGGTTATTCACTACTGGGTGGGAGTTATTCATACTGGTGGGAGTTTTCACTACTGGTGGGGTTATTCATTCTGGTGAAGCTATTCACTACTGGTGGGGATTATTCTACTGGTGGGAGTTATTCTGCTGGTGGGAGTTATTCACTACTGGGTGGGGAGTTATTCATACTGGTGGGGAATTTTCACTACTGGTGGTTATTCACTACTGGGTGAGGTTATTAAACTGGTGGGAGTTATTCACTACTGGTGGGAGTTATTCACTACTAGTGGGGTTATTCAACAGTGGAGTTACTCACTGTTTTCTACTGGTGAGGTTATTCACTACTGGTGGAGTTATTCACTACTGGGTGAGGTTATTCATTGCTGGTGAGTTTTCACTACTGGTGGGAGTTATTCACTACTGGGTGGGAGTTATTCATTATTGGTGGGGTTATTCACTACTGGTGGGGTTATTCACTACTGGGTAGAGTTATTCACTACTGGTGGGAGTTATTCACTATTGGTGGGAGTTATTCACTACTGGTGGGAGTTATTCACTATTGGTGGGAGTTATTCACTACTGGTGAGAGTTATTCACTACTGCGTGGGAGTTATTCACTACTGGTGGGAGTTATTCACTATTGGTGTAATATAATCATGTACAGTCGGGGTCAAAAGTTCACTCCCGGCCAAAATGAAGCAGCATCGACCCCAAACGAGATGCAACAGTCAGAGTAAGTCCCGGAGACTCATTCCAGTGACTGAATTTCACCACGGGGAGCAACCTTTTGTCAGCGACTGAACTTCTTTTTTCTTTGTTTTCCTGTTTTGGGATTAGCCCACCCAGGCACGGTCACTCATCCACTTCCGGGGCCTGGGGGCGGTAACAACAACAACAACAACAACAACAACAACAACAACAACAACAACAACAACAACAACATAGCAACAACAATAACAATAATAATAATAATAATAATAATAATAATAATAATAATAATAATAATAATAATAATAATGGATGATGATGATGATGATGATGATGATGATGATGATAATAATAAAAGAAATACAAACATGAAAAGATCAAGAGTGACAAACAATTGAGACCCTGCAATATATGGGATGACTATAAGCACATACAATGTATAATACAAGCCACTGGATATTAAATTCAATTATAGAGAGAGAGAGACTACCCGACATTATACTAACGTTAAATCCCACAACAATTGGACAAATGACAAGTACCATTTCCACACTTAAATTCACCTTAGCGTCTCTGTAAGTAGAACTCGTGTACCAAGTCGTGAACGCTGTGGCGTGAGTCACGGCAACACGTCACTCAAGCGAAAAATATAAAGCTTGAAATTGCATGTCGGTGAGGGCTAGAGTGGCTTATTACAGGCTACAGTGAATGTGTTCCTAAAGGGATTACATAGCATGATACTAATTCATTTTTATCCAGGACACTTGTGAGAGCGGAGCCAGGCATTATTTCGCTAATCATAGCGCCTAAAACATCGATTATAAAAATAATAATCTGACTGTCAATTATAGAACATATACAGTAATAGGAATTATGAAGTGTATGATAATAATTCGCCTGGGAATCGATTTTTAGCTGTGGGTCTGTGATTCTGAGATTTTTTTTTTTATCAAGATCCCCAGTCGTGTGGCGATGACCACTACTTCTTGGACTTGGTTACGCACGGTTAGTAATCTCAGGGTGTGAAGAACAGGTGAATTATACTTAGGCCTCAAGTTAAACTGGGTAAAGAAACAAAACCAACACCACAAACTTTGGCATATACTTTTTTATTTGAGAACAAACTGGTATATACTTCTCTAATTTGAGAAAAACTTTGGTTTTACTTATGTAAAGGAAGAACAAACAATTATCCATCCATCCATCCATCCATCCATCCATCCATCCATCCATCCATCCATCCATCCATCCATACATACATACATACATACATACATACATACATACATACATACATACATACATACATACATACATACATACATACATACATACATACATACATACATACATACATACATACATACATACATACATACATACATACATACATATATATATATATATATATATATATATATATATATATATATATATATATATATATATATATATATATATATATATATATATATATATACACATTGGATAGAAATCGTGAGGATAAAAAACCGACAAACTGAATGCGAGGAGACTTGATTGACACTGAAGTATTTAATATTCTGTCTCGCCAGAATAAATTAAATGAGGTCAGGTAAATCTAATGAAATTTTTGTGTTGTGCAGGTCTGATCGGTACACTGGAGTATAAACAACTTCTTACTCGAGTCTTCCTACCCAAATTTACCATAACGACTGGCCGGACCTAAGCTTTAACGTTCGAAATGTAACTAAATGTTCTCAACCTTTCCGCGTTGTAATTCGCTATCAGACTAAGCTACCTAAAGCGTGGAGTAGGGGGGACAAATTCAATGTTCTTGAATCTTAATCTAATTGTATTAAAATGTACTATTCCTCAAAAAATTATATAACAGTCTAGTCTCCATTTACGATTCCTCCCAGATAAGTTGCGGAAATGAAATTGGCGAATCACACAGAGACGTTTACCTGAACACACAACGTCGACGAGTAAACGAAGTCAGGACAGTAAGGAAATGAGAAACAGTAAACCGAGCGGAAAACAGCCACGACAAAGATTATATTTATTATATAAACATAACAAAAACAATTACAAAATACAGTGTTGGAATCCTCTCCTTAAAGAGAGAGAGAGAAACGGATACTCTTCAGTAGTCTCGTTGGTAGTTAGGTTAGTTAACGTTTAGGACACGAGCACCCAACTTTGTAGTTCGTTGCAACGCTAATGTCTAATGGTTCGAATAATCCAAGTAATGGCGTGGGATTCGTGTAGTCGGGGTTAAAGTGTTTGTGTTATTAGCGTGTTGAGTAAGACTTAACGCCATCTAGTTTAATGATACAAGACATACACTAAAAACAGACAGCCATACATTATTTACTCTTCAATACTGACCTTTGAACTTTATAGTGAGTTCCATATATGTCCGATTGCCACTAATCAAATAAAAACCGAAAACAGTTTACCCTATACAGAAACAGTACGTAAGCTAAACTTTTCCCCGGTACTCTAGGAAACAGTGTGACAGGCATTACACTCAATAGCCTTCACTTTCCCGTTTGTAAAGTTAGGTAACCGTTCACAGACGGATGGAGAGAGGGGTTTTCAGGACACACACCGACGAACCCTAGCACAGAAGGCGAGTGTATCCACCCGGCCTCCGCATCCCTAATAAACGTATAAGAAAAAAAAGGACTCATACCATCATCAGTGTAGTTCTCAAAGACATGCAAAAGATCTTCACCTTGAACACGGTGTAACTGGATACGCCTTGACTTAAAAAGGTCGCTCAGAGAAGCAATTCCAAGGAGGTAAAACTGGAGTGATGGAATGATCTTTCAATCTTTCAGCAGCGTACAAGGAGGCGAGGAGACTTGACAACAACATATATAATCTTACACAAAATGACCTTCACGACAATAGTGTAAAGAATAAATTAATACTTATTTCCCATAAACTGAAGATTAGACACCCCGATTTATTTCACCTGATGATTGAACACCCTAAAACCTAACCTAATCCTATCTAAAATCTACCTTGGTGGGGTTAGGTTAGGTTAGCGTTAAATAGGGGGTTTAATCATCAGGTAAACAAGATTCTCGTGCACCAAATGATCCTCGTGCACCACGTGATCCTCGTGCACCACGTGATCCTCGTGCACCACGTGATCCTCGTGCACTTCATGATACTCGTGCACTTGGCGGTACTCGTGCACTTCATGATACTCGTGCACTTATGATACCACAAATGATCCTCAGCACTACATGATCCTCACCACATCGGATACTCGGCACCACATGATCCTCGTGCACTACATGATACTCGTGCACTACATGATACCGTGCACTACATGATACTCGTGCACCAAATGATACTCGGCCCCCATGATACTCGTTGCACCAAATGATACTCGTGCACTACATGATACTCGTGCACTACATGATACTCGTGCACTACATGATACTCGGCACCACATGATACCAGCCCCACATGATACTCGTTCACCAAATGATACTCGTGCACTACATGATACTCGTGCACTACATGATACTCGTGCACTACATGATACTGTGCGCCCATGATCTTCGTGCACCCATGATACTGTGCCCCACATGATACTCGTTCACCAAATGATACTCGTGCACTACATGATACTCCCGCACTATATGATACTGTGCACTTTATGATCCTCGTGCACCACATGATACTGCACCACATGATCCTCGTGCACTACATGATACTGTGCATACATGATACTGTGCACTACATGATACTTCACCATAAATGATACTCGTGCACTACATGATACTCGTGCACTTCATGATACTCGTGCACAACATGATACTGTGCGCTCCATGATCTTCGTGCACCACATGATACTCGTGCCACATGATACTCGTTCACCAAATGATGCTCGTGCACTACATGATACTTGTGCACTACATGATACTCGTGCACTTCATGATCCTCGTGCACCACATGATCCTCGTGCACGACATGATACTCGTGCACTACATGATACTCGTGCACTTCATGATACTCGTGCACTACACGATCCTCGTGCACTACATGATACTCGTGCACTACATGATCCTCGTGCATTGCATGATACTCGTGCACTACATGATACTCGTGCACTACACGATCCACGTGACTACGTGGATACTGCCGTGCACTACATGATACTCGTGCACTACATGATCCTCGTGCATGTACGATACTCGTGCACTACATGATACTCGTGCACTACATGATACTCGTGCACCACATGATCCTCGTGCATTGCATGATACTCGTGCACTACATGATGCTCGTGCACTTCATGATACTCGTGCACTACATGATCCTCGTGCACTACATGATACTCGTGCACTACATGATCCTCGTGCATTGCATGATACTCGTGCACTACATGATCCTCGTGCGCCACGTGATCCTCGTGCGCCACGTGATCCTGGTGCACCACGTGATCCTCGTGCACCACGTGATCCTCGTGCACCACGTGATCCTCGTGCACCACGTGATCCTCGTGCACCACGTGATCCTCGTGCACCACGTGATCCTCGTGCACCGCGTGATCCCCGTGCGCCACATGATCCTCGTGCACCACATGATCCTCGTGCACCACATGATGCTCGTGTTCTAAATGATCCTCGTGCACCACATGGTGAGTACCATGGTGAGTACATGGATGATAGTGTAGATAAATTTAATTATATAATATCTACCTTTAGAAAAATTAATTTATCTTTCTGTGTTGGAGTTTTAATGTTATTTTGCGTTATTTTCCTCACCATAAGAAAACACAACACCACATGGCAGTGAGTGAGGAACTATGCTACTACCACACCACATGTTCTCCATGAGTCACTGCAGCGCCACGTGAGGTCCTTTATATCAACACATAGTTCCTCACTCACTGCCACCCACCCAACTAGCGCAGTCCGCCACTACAACAAAATACAGCCCATAAGAGCCCGCACCGATAGATATAAGAACAGCACCATCCCATCTATTGTTAAAATATTAAACAACTCCTGATTTATGTACTGTACAGCCCTGTAAATGTATTCAATGCATATTATATCATTATGTCTAAATCAAATGTAAGTCTGTATATTTTCAGCCACCGGCTGCAACTCTATTAATAAACCGTTTATTATTATTATTATTATTAATATATGGACGAGTCACTGCAGCACCACGTGAGGTCCTTTATATCAACACATATGGACGAGTCACTGCAGCACCACGTGAGGTCCTTTATATCAACACATATGGACGAGTCACTGCAGCGCCACGAGGTCCTTTATATCAACACATGGACGAGTCACTGCAGCACCACGTGAGGTCCTTTATATCAACACATATGGACGAGTCACTGCAGCACCACGTGAGGTCCTTTATATCAACACATATGGACGAGTCACTGCAGCACCACGTGAGGTCCTTTATATCAACACATATGGACGAGTCACTGCAGCACCACGTGAGGTCCTTTATATCAACACATATGGACGAGTTACTGCAGCACCACATGAGGCAGGGGCAAGAGACCTCCCAACCCATGTAAACTATAATTTGTATGTCCAATTCATGTTCCTTCTTCTTTCAGTAATAAAAGCTTTTGTTACACGACCCACCTACCCCATGTCTTTATATGTTATAAGTCATTTCTGTCCAATGTATATTTTCAACCACAGCAATAATACATACACACCCATACACCACAGCAATAACACATACATAACCATACACCACAGCAATAACACATACACACCCATACACCACAGCAATATACATACACACCCATACACCACAGCAATAACACATACATAACCATACACCACAGCAATAACACATACACATCCATACACACAACCAATACATACACCATACACCAGCAATAACACATACACCCATACACCACAGCAATAACATACACTAACCATACACCACAGCAATAACCATACACCCCATACACCACAGCAATAACACATACACAACCATACACCACAGCAATCCACATACACATCCACAGCAATATCACATACATAACCATACACCACAGCAATAACACATACACACCCATACACCACAGCAATAACACATACACACCCATACACCATAGCAATAACACATACACACCATACACCATAGCAATAACACATACACACCCATACACCATAGCAATAACACATACACACCCATACACCATAGCAAACATACACACCCATACACCATAGCAATAACACATACACATCCATACACCACAGCAATATACATACACACCCATACACCATAGCAATAACACATACACATCCATACACCACAGCAATAACACATACACACCCATACACCATAGATAACACATACACACATCCATACACCACAGCAATAACATACACACCACATACACCATAGCAATAACACATACACATCCATACACCATAGCAATAACACATACATAACCATACACCACAGCAATAACACATACACATCCATACACCATAGCAATAAACATACACACCCATACACCACAGCAATAACACATACACATCCATACACCATAGCAACACATACATAACCATACACCACAGCAATAACACATACCACCCATACACCATAGCAATAACACATACACATCCATACCATAGCAATAACATACACATCCATACACCACAGCAATAACACATACACATCCATACACCATAGCAATAACACATACATAACCATACACCACAGCAATAACACATACACACCCATACACCATAGCAATAACACATACACATCCATACACCACAGCAATAACACATACACACCCATACACCATAGCAATAACACATACACATCCATACACCATAGCAATAACACATACATAACCATACAGCAATAACATACACATCCATACACCATAGCAATAACACATACACACCCATACACCACAGCAATAACACATACACACCCATACACCATAGCAATAACACATACACATCCATACACCACAGCAATAACACATACACACCCATACACCATAGCAATAACACATACAACCATACACCACAGCAATAACACATACACACCCATACACCACAGCAATAATACATACACACCCATACACCATAGCAATAACACATACACAAGCACCACAGCAATAACACATACACACCCATACACCACAATAACACATACACACCCATACACCACAGCAATAACACATACACACCCATACACCACAGCAATAACATAAACAGCAAGAGGGTACCAGATGCACACCTCTTTCTCACGGCACTAACAAGAACATTACATATCTGTGCTACATTACGATCTATACAAAGAAAAACAAGGTAGTGGAGTTCACAGAGGCAGCAGATGAACACATTAATTAAACTGCAACTTGACAACACAACACGACTAAATAAAGTATCCGTTAGGTTAGGTTAGGTTAGGTTAGGTTAGGTCAGGTATAGGTATAGTAAGGTTAGGTCAGGTCATTGGTCCTCGAAGTTTATGCCGACAAGTTTAAATTGGTCAAGACTAAGGGGTGGACGTGACCTGGCTACGGGGTCACATACTTTACACACACTTGCCCAACCAAAATTTTCTAAACCCCGCGCGTGCCACTGCAATATGAGCCAGCCTGGACCACCCAAACAATATTTCCTTCCTCCCCAATATTAACTATGAGAGGAAATCTATAGCTACGTTCAATATACACTGTTAATATTTTTCTAGTTATTTATTGTTCAGTTAATAATATATTAATTTCTTTACGTTTATCAGTTTATTATTTATTTTATTATTGTTGATACAAACACTCAATTTACTATGAATGGCACTATCATCATTAGAATTATAAATATTACCATTACAGTCCAAACTATCATGATTCATACCATAAATCATCATCATAGTGAATATTAGGCTACAATCATCACCGCCCAGGACACGCTATCATTCCTACCATTACCATCATCATTGTCCTATATACACTACCATGATTTACACCAAAACCACCATGACCATCGCTCCTGTGACCATTACCACCATAAAAATCCCTATCTCCAGCCTCTACCCACCATGCCACCATCATGGGGTCCCTATAAGACTGACATATGCAAGGGTAACTGTCAGCATAACCAGTTAAATACATATAAGGAACAGTTTGCCTTCTGACAGTCTATAACTGGGCTTCAATTAACCTGTAAGAGAGGGTCACGGGATTGCCTTGTCGGATCTCTGCACCCCACACCGACAATGGACAGCCTTTCTTTTATACAATCACGTACGATCACCAAATAGCTGGCCCCAAATAGACGCATACGACCCCCAAATAGACACGTACGACCACCAAATAGGCAAGTACGACCCTCAAATAGACACATACGACCCCAAATAGACACTTACGACCCCCAATAGTCGAGTAGGACTCAAAATAGCTACTGCAAGTAATGATAATGAGGTCAAAGTAATTATATAAAAGACCAATTAATAAGTATTTTAAATTTTAGAATTATAATATGGAAATTAAAATGAGGCCAATAACTAATGACGTTTCTTCGTAACTAATCAATAACGCTTTTGAAACTTATAGAAACACAATTTTAAATTAAGAATAGTGACAAAATATAAAGGTTTCTTCTCAAGCACAAGAATCAAGAATTAGGAAAACCGTAGCGAAAATTTCCGAATATTGGCAATTGTGGTAGTTTACGGGACTTAACTTGGCTAAACAAAAATTCCTGGGCGGTTTAATGCCTGAACCAAAGTCTGGAGGAGATATAACCATTTTTTTTTCCTGTTGCACATGTGAACGAAATATAGAAGTCTATAATAGCAAGGTATATAATTTGGCAATAGTAACTAATAGTAACTAATAGAAGATGTGATTATTAACTGTTGTAAGGTCTGTTATACGTAATATTCACACCAAGTAAAGAATTGCATTGAGGAAAGTCTTAGAAGTTATTGGACATAGATAAGGTTATTTATTAGAGGAGGAACTAACGACAAGGAAATGCTATTATCTTTCCAATATTTTACACGAGAGAATTTAAAGTATTCGACAAAAGGAAACGTAAATATAATACCAAAAGGGGGAAAACACGGACTATCAGACATACATTATCAGACAATATGCAGTCTTTAAGAAATTCTTTGTTGCTCTTTGATCTGTAAGGTTCCCACTGGTTCAAGGTATTTAATACACTAGATACAGATCATGTATTAGGGAAAATATTTATCTCCCTCTGATGACTGAGCGGAAATAGTAATAATACTAATAGTAATAATAGTAATACTAATAATAATAATCATTCAGTAAAATTGTCATACATATTTACAATTGAATAAGCATTTTTTTTTTACCTATTCAGTTATACAGTTCAGCATGAATATAGACGATGTAGGTATACGATGCAATTAAGCCGTGGAAGTAAACCTGTACTGTTTCCTATGTGTCGAGACAGAGCAGGTAAATAACAATGATAAGCAGTAAGACAACTTAACCAAGGATAGCCGACAAAACTGATTGGTGATTACAGTATTTCCCGGAGAACACGTTGTCAAAATATGTCATGAAAATCAAAATATAAAAAGTTACTACGTCTTTCACTTCTGGGTGTAACTCAGAGAGGCTGTCTTTCTCTGGTGATATACAATAAATATATGACACTAACTTGGATGGTGGCGGCTTACAGCGAGGGGTGATACTGAAGCTTCTCTGTCATGTGTGTTGCAGGAAGGTCTCTCTCTCTCTCTATCTCACTCTCTCTCTCTCTCAGGGTAGTATTTTCACTTTGTTATTCACGCAGTCTTCCCTCACCACTTGACTCTAAACCCTGGCACCTAAGTCGACTCATGTTTAACTCAATCTCCATCAAGTTAATTTTTTCTTTATTAAATGACGCTTAAAAAAACATGAAATTTGTTATAAAATATCCCGGTTAATGGATGACAAAGAGAATAATTAATAACTTATCTAGACTCAAGCAGCGAAAGCGAATGTAGTATTTAAAAGGATAGCGGTATACGTTATTAACTTATGCTTCTAGTAAAATATTTATGTATTGGACGATAAGCGAGAAGGGGACGACAACATTACTCATAAAAAAAAACAATCAGAAGGAAATAAAACTGAAAAAAAATATAAATTAAAAAACTCCGACAATATCCAGCTGGACCCACAGATAAACCAATACACCCGGCCCTGACTCCACTTAGCTAGACCTGACAATATCGCAGTAGACGTTAAATAACACACACAAGGTCCTGTCAACACAAGGCTCTTACTAACCCTAACAATACCAGTTGGATAAGACGCTAAGATTACCTTTATATTCCCACCTGATCTAAACCAAACACCTGCTCTCTAAAGGCCAATATCTGCCTGACCTCCTAACACTGCTCTTGGTGGTAGTAACAGTACAGGTGTCCTTATTAGTTAACTCTCTTTTATGACCTAATTCTGCCTCACCTGTATATGAAAGCATCACAGTGGCTCTAATATCATCCAGCTGTTTAAACCCCAGATGGTTCTCACAGTATGCGTGTCGTCCCGTCTAGCACACACCTGGTCTTAATATACTTAGTTTATTATATTAACTTTTCAATGGTCTTAACAACTCTCCGCTGGTAATTACAACACATTCATTTAACAATGCTGTAGTTAATTATGAAGAATAATCTTTATTTAGTTCTGTTTATCTTGTAACTGGTCGTGCCAACACTATAGCTGGGTTTGACAGCACTCCACCAGCCCCTGAGAACACTCCACCAGCCCCTGAGAACACTCCACCAGCCCCTGATAACACTCCACCAGCCCGAGAACATTCCACCAGCCCCTGATAACACTCCACCAGCCCCTGATAACACTCCACCAGCCCCAGAGAACATTCCACCTGTCCCGGATAACACTCCCCCAGCCCCTGAGAACACTCCACCTGTTCCTGATAACACTCCACCAGCCCCTGCGAACACTCCATCTGCCCCTGCCAGCACTCCACCTGCCCCTGCCAACACTCCACCTGCCCCTGACAACACTCCACCTGCCCCTGACAACACTGCAATTAGCCGTGATGTAAGACCCAAGGCACGGGGGGCGAGTCAAATAAGACCACTTTACGACCTGGTCTGGTGTTTGAGTCTGGTGACAAGGGAATAAATCGGTCGGTGATTACGGTCTCACCAGGTGGGTGTGAGTGTGGGCCTAGTAACTTGTCTCATAAACACGGTGGCTGTAGTAATTTCCCTCTCGGTGGCTCGTGAGGAAAAACACTTCCTTTAAGGTATTAGCTAATAAAGACCGTGGAAACTTGTGAGGTTTGGACAGAGTTCCTTTTAAAACACTGACCCGGTTAGGAGAGGTGATTAGTTGGCTAGTGTGTGTGTGTGTGTGTGTTCAAAGAGACTGTTAGCTGATCCTGACAACACTCCCACCTGGTCCTGACAACACTCTCAACTGGCCCTGACAACACTCAACTGGCCCTGACAACACTCAACTGGTCGTCTGACAACACTCCCACTTGTATAAATGTATAACAACACGTACTGCTTCCTTAAAAAGTCCGCGTCTCCTTCAGAACAATTCAGTATAGAAACTAAATGAAATAATGCAGCACCAGCAGTGTTGGGATCCTGAACTACACACCTGTGAGTATTCTTGGTTATAATGTCCCTTACCTGAGGATGTTATACACACTTCCTCTAACATTCCGTTCTGTATGTAATAGTTAAAATTATAAACAAATGAACGATTCATCACGTCCTCTTTCATTGGAGCTGTACACACACACACACCACACCAGGTGAAGATGGCAGGTTATTGAACTTCTCAGGGAAGAATGTCACTCATAATGCATTTGTAAATTATGCACCTTGACCTCTATGACAACAGAAATATCAATATATTATACATGAGTTACAATAGTATGTTTATACTTGAATCTATTTCACATAAAAAATATGATGTAACATAATACAAGGCGCTTATTTCTCAATTGAGAGGCGCAATAACAGCCCCTTGTGCCCGAGATACAACAAACAAATATTGAATTACTACCCAAGTGACTTGTTACCGTCCACCATCAGCCATACCTCACCCAGCGGCGGGAAGATTTAGGCCAAGCCCAGATGACCCTCCCCCCCCTCCCCTCAACCCTACCACTCTAGGTTTTTTGAACCGTTCGAGTCTCTTGAACATGAATGAAAATATTAACAGTGAACAATTAGGGACGCACTACCCGTTGTGAACCTTTAAACTAGAGAAACCCATAAAACAGGTTACTGCTGGCTACGGCGGCCGCCAGTCTTTACCTTATTCTCTGATACACCTGAAGGCTCTCAGCTACACCACTCATAACTATTGTATATAAAATTAATGCGGATTTTGTCCTTATTTTATTGGTGTGCGTGAAAGTAACACAAAGACTCATAATTTTGCGTAAATCATCATTTAATTACCTCACCCCGTCCACCCTCGATGACATCTCAATAAACCCACAATTTAGTCGTATTAATTTATTTTATTGTGATTTACTGGACGACGATCATTCATAGTGTATATCATTTCAGTATATTTGTAATGAGACAAATCTCACAAGAAGAAGATTACATATAGGTAGAATATTGATAGTATAAGAGTATAAAAGAGAGGAAGACTTTGGTAGCGTGGCCGTGATAGATATTTACACTGTCAATACACTTATCTTATACGTCAATAGGGCGATTTCTCAAACACCGCTTCGTTACAACTCTTTATTAATTACGAGACTATAAGTTGTATATTCTGGAGAAATCTTCAGATGGGGCCGTGTGACATGAGAGGCCCTGGTTGATTTGTGGCCCCTTGACTTGGGTTGCGAGGGTTACATTTGACCTGGCTAATGTGAGGTCAGGTCTGGACTTCTTCTGGGATGTAGGTTATTGTGTATATTGGGAGAGAGTCGGCAGGTGCCTTCTTACATGTTTGTTGGGGCCATGTGACATGGGAAGGGGAACTAGTTGATTTATAACCCTTGGGCAGCTGCGAGGCTTACCCTTACACTTGACCCCCCCAATGTCGGGTCAAGTCTGGACTGTTTCTGAGATGTAAGCTGTGGTCTGACAACCCATCACTACATATTCCACTAACCTTTAGCTTCTTTTTGACATCAAATTAATATATCTGTCATAACTGG